TGACAGTTTCTCGCGATGATTTGTTTTGGTGCCAGCCTGCTACATGATGAAATTAGCTAGGCAAAGCCACCTAGCTCAGGTAACTGGGCTGGCTTGCTTCCATATAAACACCCCTAAGACATTTAGCTTATAAAAGATTTTGATCACAAATACTTATATGATGTAAACAAACTCAACTAATAATTACTAGTAAGTATATTTTCCACCCTAATTGTAAGTAAAAGCTTGCATATAAGAACCTGTATAAGGGCCTGTCAGGCTAATTTTTCAGTATTTAGACACTCAGTCTGTTTAGGCTAGTATTTCAGGTTCTTATTTTATCACATGGAGACCAGTCAGATCTAAAAATGTATAAAAATCAAAGAGAATAATCTCTTCACAAAGTAATGAAAATGATCCAGAACCCTGAAAATGTCATTTGAGATAAATAAAGTGTAGCTTTGCAGTGTATACAGCTTTGTATAAGTGCATATATACTGGCATTTTTAGATGATCATGACTGATATAGTTACTATACATGTCTTGTTCAAAAGTGGGGTCTGGGGGTTTGAAATCAGAGCTTTCTTTCTCCTAGATGGATTACCAGCCAAGGCTTATGAGCTCCATCTACACAAAGGAATCTGATTTTAAGGTGCCAGACACTTGTCAGTTCATATTGTACTATAATTGCCTGATTTTGTGTCACAAAGAGTGGCACCATCCCATTATCTATGTTGCCAGAACAGGCTGCTGTGCATGGTCTGTTTTGGGACAAAATTAGACAACACAGTAAAACCCTGCGAATAAGAACCTAGATTTTTTTCCAAGTTTCATCAGTGTTTCCTGGGCATTCTGATGAGCTCTGATATAGAGCGAAACAAGCATATATTTAGCAATTGTCCTCCGTCTTCAAGAGACATGATGAAGTAACCTGATCACCAGAATTGTTGAAGCTAATATTAGATCATTCAGTGTCACAAGAATATCATCATTTAGTGTCAATATGAGAGTAATATCAATGAATTCATACTTCCAGTTCATAATTTCAAAACATACATTTTTATAACACAAAAAAGTTGAATCTAATCTTAGCGTCTCGTACTCTCGTCACTGTCAATCTATTGAACTCTTCTGTTGTTTATATTAACACAGCATCCAAAATTATCTCCATAGCGCACGAGCTTGAACAAAAGCTGTTTATCCAGCTTTTGCACGGTCAAAAATTTCGCCCTTGGCTTTGCCACGAAGACAGGAACTGCAGCCACATTCTCAATCACACTTGTTTCGAATTTCGTCAAGCGAAAAGCTTTCCCCAAGTGCTTCTGTCATAATGACAACAACAACTCTGGCAACATGTTTCGAGGGATTGATGCCACATGAACTATTTTCGTGATTAGACACAAACTCCAAAGGTAAACACTAAACACAAATTATTCGAACTCACACCTTCGGGATTTCGGTTCGCCGCCCCAGCTGTTGTATATAGCAAGTCACACAAGGTTCAAAGCGGCCTGTTTATTCACAATGTTTACAGTTAAAGAGTTTATACAGTATAAGATTGTGTTATTGTGTACAAAAATTTCCAGTGTAGAAATGTACAATAAATGCAGCGAAGTATTGTAAAACATTGCACTCCTCGGTCACAAATTATGTGGAATGTTACTTTGAACTCGTCATATACTTCATCTTATATAATTAATGTGGATCAAAACAAAAAACGTAAACAAAGTCCAGCGCATGCGCAGATGCGACTGTAACCTACCTTTAAGCCTTTAGATAACTATAATTCTTTATATAGTGCCTTACTATTGCAGGGGTAATTAACCCATATAATAAGGCATGACTGTTAGTGTGCTTTAATTACTCCACAGGAAATAAGGGATAAGGGATATTGGTAAACCAGTATTACCAATCAGTCCTATTCCCTTTTAATTATAATGGCCA